TTCATTACCTAATACCCTTCAAATAGTCTGTGAGTATAAAGATGATTTATTAACATAAATCAGTTTTATTAAAATCATGAATATAAATACTTATTACCAAATATTTATTTACAATTAATTACCTAATATTCTTTAAATTATTTCTTCATTCACACTAATTTAGCCTGTAAGTATAAAGATAATTTATTAACGTTGATTAGTGGAATTAAATATATGAATATAAATACTTATTTGTAAATATTTGTCACTAAATACTTAATTACACTTAATTACCTAATACCCTTCAAATCATTTCTTTCATTTACATTAATTTAGCCTGTGAGTATAAAGATGATTTGTTAATATTAATCAGTAAAATTAAAATTATGAAATACTTAGTTATAGATATATAATTTAAATAGAGAAGGATTCACTTTGGATTAGGTACTGTCTCTGCTGTATAACAGACTTACCAATCATTGGTATTATTAGTATTTAGCATTGTAATGTACTACTTTCTCATTCCTGGTTTTGCGCGACAATATTGCACAGCTACTTATTTGGTATAATAACTAGTTATTATACAGTATTACAGTATAACATGTTATTTTAAGATCAAAAATTTTATTAGTACGTATCTATTTTTTACAATTCGTCATATGTTAAGTATAAATTTATTCTATGATATATTATAAATTTATTCTTTGATATATTGTAAATTTATTCTATAATATATTATAAATTTATTTATGATATATAATATAAATGTATTCTATGATATGTAATATATAATATAAATTTATATATAGGGTTTTTGCCTTGAAAATGATATAGTAAATTATATGATCAAAGCAAAGACCTCATATTCTACATTATCAAATTAATATTTTCTTCCTGCCTGTCTGATATTCCTTTGCCACCCAATCTTGTTGACTTCTAATTTAATGAATTCTGCAGCACTTAAGTCTTTGATGATATTTATAGTTATTTCCTCTTGTGCAAATGCGAGTTCTAAGGCCACGTAACCTCCATTACTATTATATTTTTTGTCTAATGTTTCTAAAAATTCATAAAGTGTTAGAATTAAATTAGAATCTTCTGAATTTTGGTTTTTTAATTGCTTGATTTCATTTTCTAATTGGTTAATTTTTTGGTCTAATGTATTAGTAATTTGTAATTGTGGTTCTGATATTTGTGTATTGGTTTTGACTGCACAAGATATTCCGAATGTAGGGTATGTAGGTAGGGTTTCAATAGTTGTTATTTTGGCCTTCTGCAGATAAAATTATTTAGTAATAGTGATAGTATATAATAAAATTTTAGATTTATAATAATATTTACTATATCTCTTGACCATAGTTATAAGTATATATGTGTTAGTTAAATATGCTACTTAGGATCTTCTACATAACAAGGAGTAGAGTGAATATCATATTTATATTTAGACCTGAGTTGTGAAATAATATTAGCTAATTCGATATTATCAGAAGTAAGACTTGATTCTTTTGGTATATGATTAGGTTTTGATTTTTTAATTTTTTTAGATTTTTTGGTTTTTATTTCTTTTATCTCCTCATCTGAGCTTTTGACTTCTTCAATTAAATTCTAGAAATATATTTTTAAAATATATTATAAGTAATGTGTTTGTCTTTTTTAATATATTAAGGGTATTCTCAAACACCTCAATCATAGCTAAATCAATAGATTAGAGATCAATTTTTAATTAGTGAAAAATAGTGTAAAATAATTTTCACTAATTAAAAACTGATCTTCCGATCTATTGATTTAGTTATGATTGAGATGCTTGAGAATACCTTAATATTTGCTTTCTCTAAATTATCTCAAAATAATATTATTTTAGATAAATGTTTGTTACAAAATTTAAAGATAAATAAACTAATAATATCTTGAAATCTAGGCTGTGTCATTCAGTGCAAACCTTACTTATAACTGAATCTCTAATAAAACTACATACCTTAGCTTTTCTTTTATTATTATTATTATTATTATTAGATGACTTTATCACAATGTATAGCATCATGTCTTTATTTGAACCTTCTAATTTTTGACATTCGCTAATAAAAGCATCATAATCATTATTATCTTCTAATGCCATCTCCTGACCATGGCTATTTACTTTGTAAGAAATTTTAACATCACTTTTATCAACAGTATTATCATTAAGGCACTTATGAATATGATTAATAAGTTCACTTTAAAATATATCAAATTTTTTGGAATTAAAAATAAACTATTTTGCAGGTATTGGAGTGAAATTTTCAACCTTAATTATAGCTCTTGCCTTTAATTCAGAGCAAACTGAACTTTTTTTTAGTGAAGTCAAGTCTGCAAAAAAATCTTCACTATAATCATCATCACTAGTAATTTCAATAGTTAAAGAAAAGCTTGAATCTTTAAAATCTTTTGTTTTAGCATGTTCATATTGTGAATGATAGGCAGAACAAAAACTAAGTTTAAATGTTATACTAAAATTACAGTTATAGTAAAAAAGGTGATCATATTTTTTAAGTAACAGTTTTTGGTTTGATTTTGTTTTTTTTAGAGTTATAAACTCAACTGTAAAGTTGGGTTGAACTTGTATTAGCATGTGATAGCTTTATAGTAGTATCGTATTCATATAACTCTTCAGTTGGGTTGGTAAAACAAAATAAACATTTCTGGCATGAAAAACATGTTCCTATTTTGTATAACATTTTTTTTTTCATGTTAACAGTTAAACATATATTTTTATAATAAATAACTACTAATTATCATAAATATTCGATGTATATATACAAAAGCGATTCTCTAAAAATTCACACAATAATGTAGTACTTTGAATACTAGTGGTTCTGAACTACAGAATAATAGTAAAATACTAATACTAGTAGTTTTGCAAAAAATTATATAGTTAAAACTCTAAAAATATATAAAAGTAAATACTATAAAGATTTTATCTTACTGGATTTGCCTTATTCAAACTTCAAGTTATATCTTCTTGGTATAATAATCTAGTAATTTTTTTTTTTTAAAAAATTATTTACTGTAGTATAACGAAGTAGCTGTAGACATAAAATGTTATATAGATTTATGTTATTGGTTAACTAAATATATATTAGAATGTTAAAAATTTGTAAGCACAATAACGTTAATATGAAATTATAACGTATACGTATACATAGTTAATGCACTATTATACATACATAATGATAAACTAAATAATAATTTTTTCACCTACATTTTTATTTGTATAATTGTTGTATAAACAATTATGCATGCATGTCTATGAATCAAGTGTCTGACAATTAATCAGATGTGCTTAGGTAATTGAGTATTCGAGTATTCAAGTATTCACAGTATTCACAAAAAAAACTTTTGTTAGGTTATTTCAACTATTTCAGAAATAGTAATAATATAAGTAATAATCTATTAGCAAATTTTTATAATTTAAATTAAAATTGAGAATACTATGAGTTTTATAATTAATCTAATATTTAATTTTAGATAAATTAAGGTCTGGCAATCTTAGTATAGTAGTTAGGTTACCAGACTACTATATAAGAGGTCTGGGGTTCAAATCCCACTGTCGACGAATTTGAATAATTACTCAGACCTTTGTATCTAACTTACAGTAAATCCTGTTCATTTCTTGAGTTGTAATCCTATAAATCATGTTGCATTAATATCAATCAAGTATTGGAAGCATAATGGAAAAGTCAAGTATAATATAACATTACATAAATAAATCTTGATAGGATCTACAAGCAGGGGACCTGCATAGTAGAAATCCCAAGTTAGATGATGTAGTACAGATTTTAATGGTCATGCTAGTTTGATGCTTGATCCAGACGAAGTCTAGATACGAAGAATGCAGACTGAGTGGGTATGAGTAAGTCCATAGTGTAATGGAAAAGTCAAGTATGATATAATGTTATATGAATAGCAACACTAACCTGGCTTGGTAGCTAACTAGATTAGGGAGAATCTATCTTGTAAAATATTCAGAAGAACTAGACCAATTTGGTAGAGAGCTATGGAAGGAACTGGGTTCATACGAATACTGATAAGAGTATATGCTAGCTTAATTGGAATATAGCACAGCATAATTAGGGTCATCTGCAAGCTCTTACCGGAATAGAATACAGATGAGTACCTTGTGATAGGGCCCAGTCCTATAAAGACATTTTGAAATGCAAGTTGGTCTGAGTGGTCCTCAAATGAGGCAGCACAAGATTAGTGTAGATATATAAATATTAGGTTAAAAATAGAGTTTCACTGTGATGCCAAAGGGTTTAAATAGAGTATCTACAGGCAGATACTAAGTATAGCAATTAGTAGGTAACCTATATGGCAGAACCTGTAAATAGATAATGACTAAAGTTGTACGTGTAGCCAATTATATCCTTACTAACAAATATAACTTGAAAATAAATACTTAATAAAAATCTGTGGACAGCTTGTTAAAAATAAAAAAAATAAAAAAAATAAAAAAATAAAAAAAAAAAATTTTAGATAAATTAGTAATATATTTATACTATAACAAGTAACTATAAATCCTATTTTTTAAAAGCATATATTTATTTATATAGACTACTGTTAATAGAAATCAAGTAGATCTACATTTGAAAAAAAATTAATACTTTAACTTTCATAACTCATATCTTGATGAATTTTAATACTATTTTGATTATCTAGTATTCAAAAGAAAGCTTAAATTATATGTTTTCTTTTAAATATTAATTTATTAAGATAGATTTAAAATTTATCAAGATATAAGCTTTGAAAGTTAAGGTATTGATTTTTTTTTAAATATAGATCTGCTTAATTTCTATTAACAGTAGCTCATATAATTATTTGCTAATAGATATTTACTAAAAGAAACTAACATATAATTTTGCAGACAGCAAGTCTGTAAAATTATATAGTATAATTAGATATTAAGTTGAATAATATTTGAAGTATATTATTCTGTATATTAAATTTAAGTTTAGAATCTAATATTATTGCTGACTAATAGATACTTAAGAATATTCTATCTCTAATTTATTAACTTATTTGTGAAATTAATTTAATATTAGACAGAGATTTTTTTTTTTTTTTTTTTTTTTTTTTTACTTTATACAAATGCCATCGGCTGAATTT